TGCTGTTTGTTTGTGTTTTTATGTGCTGTTTGTTTGTGTTTTTATGTGCTGTTTGTTTTCCAATGTGCTGTTTGTTTTCCAGTGTACAGAATTCCAGTTAAACTTATTATAAAATGTTGTTCACTTGTTTCCATACTTACAGTAAAAAATGTAACTGTAAATGTAACAGCATCGTTTATACTTGTAACTTCAAAGTACAAAGCTTACAGTTGCTATTAACATTAATGTGTTATCCTGTAATCAATAATATTTTTAGACATTTTACGTATTAACCCTCTGGGCTCTGTGCTGACTGCTACACTGCAGTGGACCAAAAGAACGACACAGGTTTGATCTTAAGGATCTAATAGTGTGTTTGTGCGTGACATTGCAACGCAAACATGTATTTGCAAGACAGACTGGAATAAATTATGACGCATCAAATATTACACAGGCTGCAGTGAATTGTTGTTGATACAGACTATTGAGCTTTGAGTTTCCCAGTCACACTTAGCTTTGAAGCACCTGCTAAAAACACTTTTACTCTTGAAGATTTCATAACAAGAAACCATAGCCAAAATATGGTTATAGTAAAAAAAATTAAAGCTGCAGCACAAACAGCAACAAAAACTGTTAGTAAATGTGTCCTGGAGTTTCTGCAGGTGCAGAAAGTGCTGCTGCTGTAAGTAAGCCTAACAGCTTCCAGATCACTTATTTTTCTGGAAAGATGGTAGGAAGGGCATCACTGCTCATCTCTACAATCTCCCAGATCTTGGAATACAAGCCTTTGTCCCATGAAAACCACTACACAGTACTCGGAGTCCACTAAAACCTACAAATGAAGAGTGATGCTGGAAGAAATAGCGCCCACACTATAGTGAACCTCAACAATTGCAAGACAGCCTTTCCCCCGATGCTTATATGAAAAAAAAATGAAGATTTATGAAACCATTAGGACTTTATTACTGTTTTATCTGAAACGTTACTGGTAATATATGACCTAAAGTGTAAAAAAAAGAATGTAGATAAAATTTTGGTTTTGATGAAAAGGACTGGAGCTAATTTAAAGAGTCAAGTCGGTAAAAGTAGATAAATGTTTAAATAAATATACATTTTACAGCATTTTGTAAAAAAAAAACACAAAAAAGTTGCCATTTTTGGCAACGAACAAGGTGTGAGAGAGTTTTATAGTTTTTGCTGTCCTTGAACAAAAATAACAGTGCACAATAATGTTGACTTAATCAATTAAATGTCCCAGACTCTACTATTAATAATACAGCGCTCCCTCGTTTATCACAGGAGTTACGTTCTAAAAATAACCCGCGGTAGGTGAAATCCGCGAAGTAGCCAACTTTATTTTTTACAATTATTATAAATGGTAAATAGTAAATACCATTTACCAATTATTATAGATTATAAATGTATTATAGATGTTTTAAGACTGTAAAACACCTCCCTACATGCTTTATACACTTTTCTCAGACAGGCATGAACATTTTCACACTTATCTCTTTTGTTCAAACACTCTTAAAGTTCAAACTTTCATAGAAAGATAAATCCAGAGTGAAACCGTGCAAAACGTTTCGTCGGCATTGTTGTGTTTGTTGAGGAGAAAACTTACAAACATACAGAGTCACACAGCTAGCGATCAAAGATTTATGTAAATTTGACAAGCTAAACGCACTCTGTGCTGTACAGCAGCGGTCCCCAACCTTTTTTGCACCACGGTCCAGTTTAATGTCAGACAATATTTTCACAGACCGGCCTTTAAGGTGTTGTGGATAAATAAAACAAAATAAAACAATACAGACAAAGACAAAAACGCGAATTCAGCTGTGTAATTGTGTAACTTTATGAGCAGCGTCCTCCTGAAATGCGCCAACAACACTGAGACTAACATCCTCCTCTCTGCCCCTTAATGCTCTCTGGTCGCTATGGTAACGCGTAAATAATCCTTTCAAAATAAGACACACAACTACAACAC